CATTATGTATCAGAAAATGTAATAAAAATTGTTTAGCCATTTATTGGAAAAAAGAATGGGCTGCAACTACAGGGTTGTGGACCAAATTGTGACTAAGAGAAAATTCTTAATTTTTTGATACTAATACATGTACTTATGTTGTGTAGAAAGTTTGAGCAGATTCTGATCAAATTATATTTTTACGAATTTTTTAAGTTACTCAAAAATCAGACCAAGTCCCTGTACTACCAAATTTCATTAAAATTGTCTAAGAGAGAATTGCCTTTTAAAATTTCTTCTGATACATAATTATACATGTATTTATTAATTTTGAACTAATTTAGATTTTCAATGAATTTTAAATCTAGTTGTTACACCTACATTATGTATGTATAAACTTTATGTAAATTTTGACCTTTTATTTCTTCAAATTGTTACATTTGTTACATAGATCTACATATGTTTTTTTATGTTATGAGGTGCCTCACTCAAATCAATAACGTATAGATTCTAATTTATGAGAAATCATGCACCAATGTTTATGCATCTTGTTTATGCTTACAGCATATGCTTGTGTAAATATGGTGCACTTTCATTGTGAATATAAACATGTGAAGTTTTTATTGATTGATTTATTGATGTTTAATGAGCTTTAAACAACAAAAAACAAGACTGCAAAGTCACCTATACTTTATTTTATCCATTATTATTTATTATTATTATTTTTATTATTAGTTTCAATATTTTGTTACTAGTTATTATCTCTCTGTTATTAGTATTATTTTTAAAACTACAAGCAATACAAATGCGCATCAATTTACATGTACCATGCACATTTGAACATATACTAGACTACTGTTTTTGCTTGTAGTGATAGTATTTATGTTGTTATCATCAACTGTATTACGTAATAAAATTTAGAGTAATTTTTTAGTCATTTTTTACAAAATTTTTTTCAAAAAATTCAACTTGCAATTGGCTCAAACTTGCTACATAGCATAAGGACATCTGTATGTATCAGAAAATTGGGGGTCATGTTTTAGCCATTTTTCCTTTAAAAGCATGGGATATACTTATATAGATCTATAGCATTGGGTGCTTTTCAGATTTTGGCATATTTTTTAATGGCCATAATTTGAACAATTCAAGCTGGAATTGGCTCAAACTTGCTACATAGCATAAGGGTATCTATATGTATCAGAGTCATTTTTAGCCATTTTTCAGAAAAAGCATGTGCTATTATAGTACGGTGTACTTTGGCATATTTTTTAGCTACTGAATTTCATAGTTCAATAATTGCATTTGAATGTTATCTAGATAATATTTTTAATTATTTATTTTTGATAGATCTTCTCTGTGATTGCTTACAACAATGCGTTGAAGGAATCAGTGCATGCCAAGAGATATCATTGACGATTCCAGATGCCATTGATGTCTCTCTACCTCCTTCATCCCTCCCTCCTGAGCCTACTAGATCTATTATTAAGAAAGAAGGAGAGAAGTTCTCAGAATGGAGCAAAGTGTTAGAGGATAAGCTCCAAACTGCAATTGAGTACACTAAGAGTATAAAGAGAAATGAGTTTTATTTTATCACAAGGTTAGTTTTAATTTTAAAAGTACATCATAGGTGTGGCTGGTTATGGCATATGTAGTGAATGGTAATTAACATGAGACTATCTATTTTTTATTTTTTAGCTTTGATTCTTTGCATTTATAAAACACTTACAAAGCAAAATTTCACTGAAATGCCAGGAATTTAGTACTTGGACTGCTGACATCATGCAGTAGTGAAGTTTTAATTCCATTCATGGAAAAGTATCACTCCTTACTTGAAAGAGTTTGTTATGAACATGCATTGCTACACAGGACCCTATCAAAGATGACATCTTGTCTATTGGAGATATACACCCACATATCAATAAAGGTACTATTTGTGATTGTGTGAAAGTAAATATAGAGTTGATTATTGTTTATGTATCAAAAGTTTTAGAAACTACAACATTAGTGGCCTATGTACACATAGTTTATCAATCAGTCTTGAATGTAAAAATATTTAATTTTCAATGTTTATATTAATAGAGTACATTATCAATGATCGTACACCATCAATTTTCGGACACTTGTTTTAGGAAAACTATACATTGCCATCTCATGAAACTGCAAAGTATTATAGCAATAGTTATCCTTTATTTGCGTGACAAAACTTGTAGCTCTAGCAAGAGTGCATAGAAAGTTATAAGCTCTCAAAGCGTGGTGTCCGACAATACCAATGATCGGCCAAAATTCTCAATCTTCGGACTGTCATTTCTGAACGACAGCAAAGGATAGTTTTAGAAGGTCACTATGATAACTTTGTAGGCCTGTCTTTAAACTAACTATCACCATCCGGATCTTTTTGATAGCTGTCTTTTTGACAGAGATAATGGCCACTTAAAATGTGTCACCTGATCCCTCAATATACGGACAAATTTACAAAAA